TAGCCCCCTTGATCATGTCGATGGGAAGGTCTAGAAAAAACCCGAATCACAGAGTATATCGCACATATTGGTCATAGGGCAACTGAAGTGTGCTCGTCAAACCTTATTCGTGTCTCTTTTCGGCTCTCGGGCACTGGAACACAATATGCAGTTTAGCTGTGTCCTATAGTTACAAATAAGGTACATAATAGGTACTATTATAAAATTATAAGTTATAACTGACACTATAATGTAATCTTATTTAAAGAAAATTTTGTGTTAGGTCATAGTTAATTTATCTGGGATAATATTGACATATTAAATATTACTATTTATTATATACGGAAAGAGGTCAACAGGAAAGCCACGTTAGCGATGCCTCGATAGAGTAAACTAAGATCTGGAAAGCTTAGAAACGACAAAAATTGAGGATGCGGATGATCGGGAATTGTGGGGGAACGTGGTAAAAGCAGCAAAAGGYCTTTATGGCCTGTAAGCTAAAAAAATATACATACCTATATAATACTATAGTTTATAATTATTTATTAATAATTTTTAACTCTTTAACTTTTGATCACTATATTTACATCACTATAAATAGAGACCTGCAAGCAGTGGCATATACAAGGGGGCTCCAGTGGGTTGTAGCCCCTTTTTGAAATTACAGTCGTAACTGTTAAATACATTGTAGCCTATATAGGCCGGTGCTAGATCATATTTTGTCAGTTGCTATATGAATGTCCTGGGATTTATTCAAATTAAAAAGATGAATATATTATAAAGATCTTAATTAAATTGTGTTATTTGAAAATTTGAAATACTTAACTGTTATCAAAAAATATTATTTATAAAAAAAATTGAAAAATATATACTGTAATTAATTTTTAAACTAATATAACCTACGCATACATTTTTAGGAACTATATTTCAAAAAGATACGTATTATTGTAATAAACATCATCTTTCATATTTTTTTTTTTTTTGTGTTTTCCGGCCTTTAAGACCATCCCATACAACTTATATTCCTCCATCTTTCTCTGTCTTCTGTTACTTCCTTCGAGTTTGCTTTTGGATCTACTGTTTTTACGTCTATCCTCACACAATCTTCTCATCTAAGGCGTGGTCTGCCTACTGGTCTTTTTCCTATCGGCTCCTCTTCTATTACTGCTTTTATCATTGTGTCTTTTTTCCTCCGGGCGTGTCCAGCCCACATTAACCTTCTATTTGCGGCTTCCCTTGATATGCATGGTTTTGGAACATGTTTGAAGCTCCTCATTGGTTCGTTTTCTCTATTCTCTGGTTCGAGGGTCAAGATATGGTCCATATTATATTCGTCTTAGAACTTTTCTTTCAAAAGTGTAGTCTAGTCATACTTCCTAGTTCCTTTGTCTTTCTTAGTGCC